ACGGTATATCGATCCGTAAAAAATTCTTCGACGAATTGGACAGGTTGCGTATGAGTTAGAATTGCCATTCGAATTGGAATTTGTCCATCCGGTATTCCATGTATCTATGTTGAGGAAATGTATTGGAGGCCCTTCTCGAGTTGTCCCTATCAAAGATGTACAAGTTACAGAGGATCTATCATATGATGAAGTAACAGTGGCTATATTAGATCGACAAGTCCGCAAGCTGAGAACAAAAGATGTAGCTTCTGTCAAAGTATTGTGGAGGAACAAGAATATGGAAGAAATGACATGGGAAGCGGAAGAGGAGATGAGGTCTAAATACCCTTACCTATTCCAGAATGAAGATAACAAGGATGCTGGTGGAACGCAGGATACATTGGAAGGTGAAACGGCTCTATGAGCCTTGTGAGGCCATACGTTGGGCTTAACTGCTTGCAAGTTTTGCTAGTAACCATTTTATAGGGGAAAATTGACCGGGAATTTCTGTTGGAATCCACGATGATTTGGACTCCCCATAAACCCTTACATTCGAGGACGAATGTTCCTAAGGGGGGAGGGTGTTACAACCCATATTCACATACGTTAGTTCATGCCATAAGGTCGCCGACGTAAATCCATGAAGAGATTATCTTTAAGATGATAAGAGGTCAATCCTATTGGTCTTAAATGATACAAAGGTGTATAAGGGTGGTTAACAAGTATTAGAAGTTAAACGAATCAAGGATGTTGTCAGCCGTATTTTTGGGTAAACCTAGGGGTGCTTAATACTCTCAAGAGGTCGTATTTTAAGGTATATGAATCGTAAAATATCCGTGTCATAGTCTTGAAGTCAAACGAGTTATGAAACAAAAGTCGACAAGAGTTGTTGCAACTTAGGTTCATAGTTTTACTTAAACTTTAGGTCAAATGTTATTAAGCTTTTCTCCCAATATACTTGGAATTACGGGGTGATCTACCCACCAAATTGAAGATCTATGAGTCTAGTTTCCAACGCATTAAACCGTTTATCAATACGACATTGGAGTAGAGAGATATAGACATTTTTGCGAGACTGCACAAGCTGCTAGGTGACAAGTAGGTGGGTCACCTACTTGGTTAAATGATAGCCCAAAAAGAGGCAATTTCGGGTCAGACAAAGAGCCCATTAAAAGGCTTATCTCCTGAAATATATCCCTCATTATATTTCACAAATAAACAGACCAAAACCCTTGCAAACTTCCTCTCAAAAATTATCCACAAACCCTAATCGATTTTCCCTCTCTTTCAAGTTCTGATTGGGGTAAACCCTAGAGTTTGAAGAACCAAGGGAAGGGCTGAGTTATCCAAAAAGTAAGGTGAGTTTACTGCTCTCTTTCATACATTTATTCTGCTGTGAATTCATGGTAATTCGTTCCATACATGTAAGAACTCACGGGACGGTGATTGGAAGCCGTGAGTTCGAGTTATTAACTTGTAGCAGACTGTTTTGCGGACTGTTTTGTGTTGCTGTTGGGCTGCGTGTTTTACTACTGTTTTGTGGAGTTTTGGAGGAGGAAGGGTGTGGAGAAACACCATATAGATGTAGGGTTGTGGGCTGGTAGTTTTTCGTAACATTTCCGGGTCATTTGACACGACTACAGTGGCCGTCGTATGTATGAAGTGATTAGGTTGTGCGTGGACTATTTTGGGAGACTCAATATGATTATTATTGATGTTGTTTAGGCTGTTAGGTGATTGTATGGAATTGTGTGAAGTCATATATATAGGGGAGGTGCTGTCCATTTCATCGTAAAATAGGTTGTGGTCGATACATAATAGTTATGACGCTTGAATGATAACTATAGTATCATTTCTCTTATTGTATACTAAGGAGTCGTGAAAATTGCATAGCTTGAGATTGGGGCAGTATATACAAGGTATGTAAGGCTATCCCTTTACTTCTTTTGCACGACTCCAATCGTACATAATATAATGAACGAGCTTCCAAAGATACTCTACTCTTAGAAACTAGCAGTACTTACATTGTTTCCCCTCTTATGGAACGATTGATGTTGATGTTGCTTCTCTTATTCTTATGTTATCAATGTTGTTGGTACTTCCTGATTCTTATAAGGTTCATGGTGAAGAGTTAGTCCTAATAACGTGTACACAAGATACCGACCTTACGTCACTCCGAAAGGTTTAGAACGTGAGTCCATGAGTCGAGCATGCATTATATATATATATATCTATTTTACTCTACCGAGTCGCGCTATAGATGGCCGGGTATGGCACCTATTGTGAAACCACTGATCAGTTGGGTTTTACCGAGCTCCACGTGGCCGGGTACGATTCTACCGAGCCTTATGATGGCCGGGTACGTTTTTACCGAGCCTATTAAGGCCGGGTACAATATGATAATGATGATGCCCACAGAGGCGTATGTTTTGAAAGTTTATGTATATATACATATGTATCTCGCATTTCGTGTCAGTAGCCCTCAGAGGTACCCAGATGTTACAGGTTGTTTATTCTCTATCCCTGCTTACATTACTGTTCGTACTTATGGTTCCCTGCCTTACATACTCAGTACTTTATTCGTACTGACATCCTTTTATTTGTGGACGCTGCATGTCGTGCTGCAGGTCCTGATAGACAGGCAGGCGCAGCTCCCCCACCATAGTAAGTTGTCCAGTTCAGCGGTGATTGGCGAGATCCCTTCTTCGGACTTGCCGTGGTCTTGGTATGCATTTTTGTTATAGACATTATGGGTATGTCGGGGCCCTGTTCCGGCTATGTTGCAACACTTATGTTCCTTTAGAGGCTCATAGACAGGTGTCGACTCATGTATCGTTTGGTAGGCCTTGTCGGCTAGTTTTTGTTGTATAGTCTCTCATGGTAGCGTGGTAGCTCGTACCTTATATATAGTTTCTTGATTGTCGAGTAATCCCATGTTATGTATGTTCATGCCATCATATTTTATTGTTGGTTGTCCACGACCCATGTCTACCATTTATATTGATCTCGTCAGCCCTAAAGGATAATAAAGAAGGTTAGATAAAATGTATGTTGGTGCTCGGTAAGTATGGCCGGGTGCTAGTCATGGCCCTCCAGTTTGGGTCGTGACATAAACATTGATTTCTCCTCTACTTAGCCGCCGCGTTACCTGAAACCCCTGCAAATAAGTGCAGACAAGATTGGTGGCTCCCGAATCTACACACTATGACATGGTAGAAACAGCCGCTAAAAGAGTTTGAACGACAAGTAGATGTAAATCACCTGGTTTATCTTTCAGCTTTGCCAGATTAGTCGGACACTGCTTCTTATGATGCCCAGGTTGTTGTAGTGATAACACTTGCCCTTAGCCTTTTTCACACCAGAAGTTGCGCCACCAATAGAGTGTTTTTGAGTCTTTTTCTTCTTCTGACCGCCTCTCGGCTTAGAAGCAGAACCTGAAAATTTTAATGCCACAGGAGGAGCTTGTTGCTTGATAATAGTCTCTGCCGACTGCAGCTCATTTAGTAATTTCGCAAGTGACAAATCCACTTTGTTCATGTTATAATTCAGGCGAAACTGATGAAAACTGTCAGGCAGAGTCTGCAGGATCATTTCAACCTGCGTATCCTTATCAATGTTAGCTCCAAGGACCTCCAGTTCATTCAGAAGACTCATCATCTTCAGAACATGGTCCCTAAATGATGAACCTTCATAAATTTTGGTATTCAGAAGAGCTTTCATGGCAGTCTACTTAGCCGCACGATTCTGATCTCCAAACATTTCTTTGAGATTTTCCAGAATGTCATAAGCCGACTCCATCGACTGATGCTGATGTTGTAAAATATTTGACATAGATGCCAGAATGTAACACCGCGCCGTCTCATCAGCCTTGACCCATTTCTGGTAAGCCTTTTGTTCATCATCAGTAGCATCATCTCCAGGTTTTTCTGGACACACCTCATCGAACAAAAATTTGTACTCTTCAGCAATTAGGACAATGTCCAAGTTCCGTTTCCAATAAACATAATTCGGACCCTCAAGTTTGTTTTGAGTAAGAATAGTAGTAAGGGGATTGAAAGCAGTCATTGTTAATCTGGGATACAGTTAGATTAAATAGATCAAAATTAGTCATGTATTATTTGAATATTAAAATTCAAAACACACTACATATATATAATCTATGCACCTTGAACAATAAATGTCGATGGGAAAAAAGCTATTCTTGCAATATCACATATATAATGACAGATTATTCACTCGATGAATTTAGACAGGCCATACTCAGATGGAAAATAACTGTTAATTTAAGTCAAGTGAATATCAACATTCAATATATATACTAGCTCCATTGAACCAACATGCATACTCAGATGGAGAGTAAATACAAGTAATCAACAACTAGTATAACTTAGTGATTATCCATAATGAGTTTATCCGATGTGGAAGAAGACCTACGTCAACGTGTAAAAACATTATATCACTAGAATTTTAACCCTGGAGTCCATAGGAAATGATCCCTACTACCACTGGATTAAAAACAACTCAAAAAATGTTTTTTAAAAAATTTCCAGAAAATTAATAAAACGTCCAAAACACCATCTAAACGACCCCGAAAGCCCAAAAAACAGCTTACATCATGAGCAAAGCTGATGAGTATTGCTCACTGGGCCGTTTCGCATGGACCTGCCAAGTTCCAGGTCAATCGGAGTCCGTCAACATGTTGACCTCCGATTTTCTGGTCAATTCGGCCAAATAGTGACTTTTGCGTTTTTCATGGATTAATGTAATTTTCAGATTATTCTAATGAAATATCATCAACTATAAGCAGATATTACATGATTTTCAGAATAATCATAATACTCAGAACAAATATTCATGTTAAAAATAATGCAGTTTTACAGAATTCAAAACAATCTTTGCATGTAATTCAAAACTTGCATATTAATATGATACTAATATTATTGTTCATCCTAATTATTTAATTAGACGTGAGCAGGCTATGATACCAATTGTTGGATTATATATCACAGTGGAAGCAATCACAGTATCATATTCACGTGTGAATTAAACAATTAGCACATACGGAGATTATTCGAGTTACCTCTTGAAGCGTGAACAAAGCAAATCAATATCCGTCTCCAGTTCCAGAGTTGCAAGACCTCAGCAAACTTCCAGTCTTCTACCGTGTTACCCAAATAATATCCGGAAAGAGAGAACTTCGGATGGGTGAAATTCAAGGAAGAAAAACGTGTGGTTTTTCAGTGAAAAAACGGCCAGCCATATAATGTATATATAGCTATATTTTTTAGGTTAAAACCCTTTTCCAAAACCTGTTAGGTTTTCTTTTTCCACTAAGGAAAGGTTTCCTTTATTTCCTATTATTTACGCACAGTAGGGACCACAAAATTTAATTAACAAGGCTTCCTATTGTGGAATTAATTTTGAAATTTGAAATTATTTTCTTCCATAATAAATTACGAATTATTCTACTAAAAATTCGTAATTGCACTCCTTAGTTAAATTTCGAAATTCTTCCATAAAACCTTATTTAACTCCCCATGTTAAGATTCATATACTAACCAATCAAATTAAATTACTGACAATTTAATTTACTGATTACTTCCTTTAGACTTTCACTTAACTTATTTCATGTGTCGGATACAAAATCCACCAGCCGGGTTTACACATGAAAACTTATACGCTTTCATAAAGGAGTATCATCAATCTAAAAAACGAGACATGGATTCTATCAACTAATTATTGCTTCGCCAATGTATATCGTTATCGTCCAATTTACCAGGCTTATTAACCCACGAAAGAATCTCACCTTTTAATAAATCAAAATAATAAATGATATACATAACTAATAATAATTATATCAAGATTAAGAGTATAAGTACATTAAATGGACTAGAAAAATTATTTTATTAAGTCAGTATAAAATACCTATCTCTACTTGATCCGTTCAGTACATGCAAAATGTACTAGCGCAAGAAGTTGGAATTAAACCATTTCCATAATCAACTTGTGCTACAACCATTCCGATGGTTTGTCCAATTCCATCATTCGATTGTGAACATAAACTTTATGACTTATAAGAACCGATGATTTAATCTTTCGTGTATAAGCTAAACTCTATGCACTAAATCATCTACTATATAAGCAACGGACACACAAACAAATACATGATCTATTTAAAATAAAACTTTATTGAATTGAATAAATAAATAAACAATTTTTCCATAAAGAATACTATAACAATACGCATGGTTTATATTATATCCTAACACAGTGGAGTGAACAAGCACAAGTTGAAGCAGAAAAAGAAGGAAAATGGACAAGTGCAGAATTTCAGCGTCCATTCCACTGCTTGGTGCTACCTGTGGCTAGCAGGATACAGAACTTTCAAGAGGCAAGTTCCCAGGCTAGTGAGCCGTGGCCCCCAACGTGCGGACTTTCGAGAATTGTCCTATTTTGACTTGGAGAAGGTCATTTTGATCCGACACGCTCCTAACTATAAAAGGGGTTCCAAACCTAATTTTGGGAAGGAACGACACTCCGAAGGCAGAGAATGCAGACCATGCTTGGGAAAGCTTTCAACTAGTTTTTCTTCTCATCTCTTTCTTTAATTTTATAGTTTATTAGTTCCAGAGTTGTGGGTGCTACAGGAATGTTGTAGTTTGAAGCTTGAATTGTTCTTATTATTTATTATTAGTTTATTTATTCAATCCTACGCTTAATTATATGATTGCTTGATCACCAATTGAATAGTTCTATATATCTAGGATTGAACTCAAAATGAGAATTTAGATTACATATAGGATTGAGTAGAGCAAGTTCTTGAACCTGCGTATCGGGGAACAAACTCACGGTTAGAATAGTAATTTACCTAATTGCTTTGCTTGGTTACTATATATGAATTATTAATGTGTTCTTGTTAATTCTAACTCCATAGAATATAAGCGTTAGATTAAGTTGAAAATGCTACAAGTAATGAAATACCCCAGACTTTTGCAGAGTCCTTCATTGGCAAAAAAACAAGAGGGATGCGTTTTAAACCCGTGAGGGCCTAGGCCCAGAGCGGACAATATCACTAGCGGGCTGGGCTGTTACAGATGGTATTAGAGCCACTCTTGTGTCAGCCTTGTCGATGGTGGGTCAGATCAGAGTTCAACTGAGTTTAGGCAAATCTCGGTTAGGCGGGGGCAAACCTCAGTGCTGAGTCTAAGCTTGACAACTTGTTTTCTTTAATTTCTTAGTTTACTACTCTAGATTATTATAATTAAATGACCACACTTTAGAAAATCGTTTGAATAGATTAATTATTTGGGTCTAATTTAGTTGATAGTTAATCACAAGTCCTCGTGGCAACGATACTCTACTCATTACTTTATTATTTGTCGATCACGTATACTTTCGTGTGCGTTTGAGAGCAACAAATTTTTGGCGCATATTCCGGGGACTTAGGAATTAGTTATTTTTCTATATAAGATTTTTACTTTTTATCTATTCAAGTTTTTAATTTTTAGTTTACTTTAATACCTCTTTATTGCATAAATGAAGGGTAAGGCTGCGTACAATAGAACCTTGTAGTTCGGCCCTTCCCGGACCCAGCGCATAGCAGGAGCTTAGTGCATCGGGCTGCCCGTTAATACTACTTTAACTTTCTTGACATGACATCTTGGAGTAAAAATTGGTTGAATAGTGGTTATTCTTATTTTGGTGATCATTGTCCATATTGTGGAGGGCAACACTTGTGGCACAATTGTAAAAATATTTTTGGGAGGGGATTGTGTGAACCGTTCAACCTTCGAGAATATCTGTAATGTCTGTGGTAGTCAAGATACTTTTTGGAATGGTTGTCTTAATCCTTTTTATCCTTGTCCGAAACCTCCTTATGATATTTCAATACTATAGCTTTGGTATGTTGAGTTCGATAGAACATTTGTTTACCACTTGAGTTGGTCTAGCATTGGATTAGGAATCCCGTAAAAAAAACAAAATAAAAGAATCAATAAAACATAGCCTTTGTGATAAGTTGTGCTATTTTGGATTTTGGTGATTTGCCAAACTGTTTCGAGGAACCATATAGGAACTAGATGTGATCAGTTCTTTTGGCCTTGTTACGGTATGTTTCTTCTTGTTTTGATGCTTGGACAAATGTTCTTGAGGAACCTGATAGGGACCAGATATGATCAGTTTCTCAGTCGTCGTACAGTTAACTCTACAACTATAAAAGCTGTTTAACTGTATCGACTAGCAGCAGTGCATCGGCACAACCGCTGTTGCTAGAGGCTAAACCAAAATATGTATTGTCCCTATCTACTCTCACATGCTCTCTCATATATATACAACATGATACAATGTTTGACCTAACACTTGAAAATATGAAAAACACATTCTCTCAAGTGCTAGCCGCCAATATTCTCTAGGTGCATTCAAGAAAAAAAGCTGCTACAAACTGAAGGAGCAGATCCTAACACTGAAGATGTCTTAAGTCTCCAATTCTATTGTATCTTTGTCATTTGTTCTTTACTTGTAATCCTACACTACTTTCAAGAAGTATTTTCGTAGGACAGTATTCGACCATTGTTGTTTTGGTTTTGTTGACTAGAGTTAGCCAACAAGTATTTGCTTTGCAATAGAGTTGTTACAAAGAGCTTGCAATAGAGTTATTATAAGGAGTAAGGGATTAAGAGTTTAATTCCTAGATTGCAATAGGTTGTAATATGAAGTTGCTCCGTCTAGTGGAGTTGAAATCCTACTCGGGTAGGTCATGATTTTAATTCCCTTGAGAAAGAAGTTTTTCATGTAATTATCGTGTGTCATTTACCTTCTGTCTTTTTACTATGGGAACAGATAGAGAACCTGGTTCTCTATACTATTTGGTGGACTCCTAGTTTTATCTATTCGTATCAGAGCATGTTCTTCATAAAAGATTGACACCTAGAAAGGATCTTTATCATGGCTGCTCAACCAAACCTCGAGGAAGGACAATCAACCATAAGATCTCCAAAGTTCAATAGAAAGTATTAAGGATGGTGGAAAACCAGAATGCATGACTTCATTATAGCTGAGGACTCGAG